GCACGGGGCGCAGGGTGGGTGGGACTTGAGTGGGGCAGGCCGGGGAGTGGGAGTGGGTCGCCGGTGGGGAAGTGTGAGAACAGGGACCCGGAAGACGTGGGGCCGGCACAATGGGGCGGGGCGCGAAGAGCAGGCCTGCAGTGGTGTGGAGGTGGGCAAGGAAGGTCACTCCCGGGTTTAGGTGGGGAAACTGAGGCCCGCAGGCCAGTCTGGTGCAGTGCTGATGGGACTCCCTCGCTGGACTTATGATCTTGGTCTTTAAAATACAGCTTCTCTGCTCCCGAGCTCCACAGGACACAGCCCACCCGGAGCTCCGCGGGCGGACAGAGGGCCAGGAGCTTGCTCAGGCATATTCCTAACGGAGCATGCACTTCACATCCTTGGTGCCGGAGCTTGGGATGTGTCACTGTAAACTGGGCTCCCCGGTCAAATGTAAACAACCCAACACTGATGACTGACGTTAAAGGAGATGGGAGTTGGTCAGACCTGGAAGTAGCCGATACAAATAACACTAAAGGTAAACTTTGGGTGGGGAGTGAGCTAAATCCACCTTTCATAGCAGTAAAGAGGGGAAAGCTTATTCAGGGTGAGGGCCCTGACCTGCCAATCCAACCAGAGTTGAAAGATGTTCTGGGGATGGAAGTGGGGTGCTGGGGGTATGGAGTGATTCATTGTAACTCTCAGATACTGTTTCATGTGCAAGTATTGTTTGGGTAAAATTAAAATGTAAAACATCAGCTGCCTAATCTCATTTTTTAAATTAAATGCTTTTCGAACAGTAGTAACCAAGACACAGCAACACTGTGTACTACTACTCAGCTATACACTTTAGCATTCAAGAAATCCCAAGGAAATTTTGTTGAGAATTTCCAAATTTAAGGTAGAGTCTTAAGTGTGCTAGGACTTCCTTCTCTGAAAAATTATTCTGAGACATCAGTTTAAAAGAACATAATGTAATTAGATCATCAGTGTGGGAATTTTCCTGCTATGTGAATGACCTGAAATATATTCCCAGCAACGGTTTCATTACAAACATACTTGACTTGAAATGAAGTCCACTTCTTGGAGAACTCACTTTCTGTGCCCGTGATCCATAGGGCAGGACTCCATAGACAGTCTAGTGGCTTCTTCAGATTAAAACTAGGATAGCTTTTTTTAATTAAATATAAACATAAAACCTCCTACTGAAATATTTAAAGCAAAGGCAAAGCTGACTTTCCCTTGAGCACCAAGCCACCCCCAATCACGCTGCCTTTCAAAGAGGGGGCACTTTGAAGTCTTTTCAGCCTGTCCCCCAGGCTCTGCATGCATGTGTATGTGGATACAGTTACTCTCATTTCGGCTGAAACAATCACATCATGTCGAACTCAGTTGAGTTCAGGGGCAGAGCCAGTGCAACTCGGGCATCCCAAACGTAGGGACGTAAAAGGCAGATAATATAAATCCATGAGCCCGAGTAAGAAATAGTGAATAGTCTGAATCGTACATCAACCCCATCTACTCATTCACACATCAGACATCTTCGCTGAGCAGCTCCCATGCATCAGGCATCATGTCACACACCAAGAATCAAAATCCAGGAACCTCTGTAATGCTTGCTGCTCCTAGCTGCAATTCCAGTCCTGCTGGGTCGGCCAAAGCTGTCTTGTCATCATCTTGTCAAAGCAGTCAGGTCTCGCTCAAACCTGTTTCTAAATCAGCTCCTTCTCCAGCCAGCTATATATACTCTTCTCTCCTCCTGCCCCAACCTAGCTCCATGATCCCCTTATCTGCCTTGGACACTAAAATCCTACGAGTGGTTCTCTACCTCCTAAGCCCCGCCCCCGCTCCCGCTGGAATTTGGTCTCCGTCCACAGTCAGAAACTTGCTGTGTTCCCAGCGCCTAGGACAGAGGTTAGTGCACTGTATCTGCTTGGTAAGAACTGTCGAGGAAACAGAATCCATGCATTCATTGAACAGATATTTATTGAGCACCTACTACTATATGTCAGGCACTGTGCTAGGTGTGGGGCAAGGGAGCAGACGAATACATGAATGCAGAGTGAAAACCCACAGCGCTACTTAGCTACTTCCCTTGTCGGCCAGGGGCATGAATCTAGTGACATCCCCTCTGCCCTTTCTGTGTTGGCATCTCACCGCTGTCCTGCGTGCCTGAGCTTGGTACCTTTGTAACTGCCTTATTAACAACAAAATAGACAAAAACAAATACGGTGGCAGAATGGGATTAATGAGTTTATTAATGATAACATTCATACTGTATTTCTAAGATTTACATCCAAAAGAGCATATTGTATTTACATGCGATGGACAGCCCAAGATAACAAAATTCAAAATGCAGCTCCGTTAAGACCATGGTTTGTTCCAAATTAAGTTAAATACATAATACTCTTACCTCTTCCTTTCAACATGTACAGTAAAAATCCACTCCTCCTTCTTTTAAGGAATATAAAAATTGCATTGACAACTGCACTGATTAGCAACAATTTCATCTGAAACATTTAAAACCTGAGATAAGCCCAAATACATTTGAGTGCTAACACGTGTACACTTGAAGGCTAGGTAATACAGAACAGTCAGTGGTCAATCATGCATGATTCAGGTGGCTCTGACAGTGACCTACGGGCCTTAGATTGGAAGCCGGGCTCCCCCCTTCCCTCAAGGCGGAGTGGGCTATTTCCTGCCCCCACACCTCCTGGACTATGTACCACAGATCAACAAGAGGTGTCCTCACTGTGGTTGTTAGTTTTTGTTTTTCTTTTGTCGGTTTTCATTTCTTCTTGCTTGTAAGAGGAAAAAAAAAAAAAAATCTTCGGCCCATTCAGGTGGGATTTTTACATTACAACATAGACACAAAGAAAATACACATGCGCTCTGTGGCAAGCACCTTCTCCAATAGCCCAGCCCCATCTCGTGTCCCTGGAGTGCAGAATCAGAGGCAAGCTCAACGAAAACACAGAGGTCAGAAACATAAACACACAATTTTTAAATGGACAGCTAAGCTTGTCATTACAGCCCAGCGACAGTGGGTATTTCATGCCATGACCCTTTATGTTTACATTAAATACTGAAGACGATTCGGTGCGTAATTGCTTTTTGGTCATTCACTCTCTTTCAATAAGGCACTCTCATCTGATGGGTGGGCTGTGCTAAACCCAGACGCCATCACCTGTGACAATGTCCATCCCCGAGAGGACTGGGCGCACTGTGTCCATCCACCCCCGTCTCCTGCGGAAACAGAGCGGCCTTCTCTCTCACCAGGGGGGCCGAGGAGGCAGTGCCACTCACGCGTGAGTCCTGCACAATCCTGGCTGTTCTGAGGTCCCGCTTCCCATTTCTAAGGTTTGTTCCTTTCTCAGAGGCATAGGGCAGGCTCTCCCTGCCCGACAGTCTGAGTAAGCAGCACCCCTGAGGCACAGGTTACATTTTATTCTTCGGGGAATGCTCTAGACACATAATATTTGACCATCCTATCCCCTTTGCTCCCTATTTTGATCCCGGTCCACTCTTGAAAGGAAGGCATAGCTGTCCTCACAGGAAAGTAGTCTTTCTAGGGGGAAACCACAGCAAAATGCCTGCTTGGGGTCGTCCACTCAGCACATGGAGCAGGGAGTCAGACATCCATGATTCCGCCTAAAGACTTTACAAAATAAATCTTCCATACAGTCTTCCTTGCATCTAGGGCCTTCAGCTTTTAAGGCACTGGGTTTTGAAGACAGGCAAGATCAGGAAAGCTAAAGATGTGGCAGGCTGCGTGCTTCAACCACGGAGAGGCACACACGCGACCAGTCTAGACAGTTACCCATACTGACAAAGCCGTTTCCCAAAGCACAGCGTCGTTAGTGCACTACGAGTGTGTCCGCTATTAGCTGTTAACGTCACTGCTTTAAAGAATGCTCCTCTCTGCACGAATGTTTATACTATTCTGATAAAATTAAATGCCCATAAGTACCAGGTACCCGGTCGCCAACAAGGAAGTGTGACAGTTCCATGACCAACACGTGTAAAGCCACGACCCCACTGATTCCTTAACGAGCGCGACAATATTCTACTCCCTTAATAAACACAAGTTGATGCGAAGACTTTCAGGGGCATTTTCCAGATGTTCCCCAAATTAGGACCTGCCTGGAGGAAGCAGAGTTATAGTTCACGTGGTGGAGCCTGCTGTTCTAGAAAAACAAAAAACACCGAACGCTCGATGGCAGGAAAACTTCTGAGTTTTTTTTCGAACAATTTTTTCATCCTGAACTACGATCAGGATCAATAGCTATTTTTCATCGGGTTTTTCTCAGAAGAGCTCGGTTTCTGCCATGGCGACTGGCACGGGCATTACTTTTTAGAATTGGACTTGAAGCTGAACAGAGTGATTATGTCAGTCATTGCTTGTCTCAGGTGCTTCCCAAAGCGATGAGAATCCTTTTGTTTGAAAAACAAAAAAACAAACACACATTGCAACATGGCGATTCCCACATTTCAAGCCTTCTGTACCTATAAACTCGAAGAACTAACATCCCTTTTGCCAAGTCTCTAAGCTTTGACTTAGTGGCTTAATCACTAAGCTGTTCGGGACACACGTGGAGGGCTGACAGAGATAACGGGCTACGTGTCTGTGTGCGTGCGTTTTTGATCTGAGGCGTGCCCCAGTGTCAACGTGTGACATAAACACATTAAGCGAATGAATTCTAGTCTCCCCTGTTGACGGTGAACTTGGCGTTGCTTGTCAGGCCACGTACCGTGTGAAAAGGATTGAAAAGTAAACGAGGATTAAGAATTTCGTGCTAAGGAGGAGGGCACATGCCCCATCCACAGAGAACACTGCACCGTCACGTACGTGCATGTCTTAGCGTGTGCTCACTAAGCCTCGTCCATCCTCTGTGGTTACACTCTGGAAGTTATGCAAAGCCCTCCAACACCAAGATCTAGGACCATTTCTGCGAGCAAACGTAACCATTTTCATACGAATCAGGTAATTCCTTTAAAACTAGATTACGAGAGTTTTAAAATTCATTAACGTGAACACGTCCAAACCGAGTAAAAGTACATAACCGGATTGAAATTGCCTGTCACATTAAGGGTATGCTCCGCTTTCCAAAGGAAACAGTAAAAAATGTCTTATCTCTAGAAAAGGGGACTGCGGTGCTTACCGTCTCAGGGCTGGAGAACTTGGAAGACACGTGGAAGTTGATGAGGTTGTCTCCCACGAGAATGTAGGACACGCCATAGCCATCGTCAGCCACCTGCAGAACGACGCGGGGGGAAATGTGACCTCGGGAAATGAGACGATGTGAACGGGGTTCTTTCTGACATGCTCAACACAAGGCTGCCATGACCGTGTTTTCCCGCCATCAGGGAGACTTCCGCGGGAGCGGCTCAGAGCCACGCCGGGCACTTCCTGTCCCCAGGGCTTGCAGCGCTGTGTACGCGGGAGCCCGATCACTTACCGGCCCAAAGCCCCCTCCACTGGACACGTACTCCGGATTCTTGTCCAAATTGAACAGCTCTACCTGCTGCTGCGGGGTCTGGCTGGTTGACAGTCTCCAAGGCTCAGATAAGACCTGTTGTGTTCAATGAGAAAACGTTATAGTGTCTCTTTTCCCAGACCTAACCGATTCTGTCCCCGCAGAGCCCCAGTGGGAGACAGAGACGGCTCGCTTGGTTTTGGACTGTTTTTTTTTTTTTTTGCGGCAATATACTGGGGTGGAGCAGGGGAGGACACCCGGACTCGGGGGGCCAATGCCAGCTAAGGGTGTCTCTGGCAGAAAAGGTGGTGGATATATGAGATTCAGAACGGGAGCAGAACCGTGGCAGCTCTGGGGAGATAACTGCTAATTTTCAGGAATTTTTTCAAGCTGCTTGTTAAACACAGCCATTACTAGACGTTACATTTTATCAACTTCAAATGAAACTCTATTAATGACAAAAGTGACACATACTCAGAGCATGTCACCTCCTAATTATTTTAGCACGTTTGACTATAATCTATGCTCTGGACGTTATATGGGCCTCATAAGTCAGGAGGCTGCATTCAGACCGCAGCCCTGAAATCACAGCAGCTCAAATTTTCCACCGAGACGACAATTAAGCCCCAAGACCCATTTGCTATGCCAGTTCCAATTTGTAAAACTGTCCTACTAATTTAGGAAACTTTGGTTTAGCCAATAAGCCTGAGGGAGCTGCTACAGGAAGACGCGACTCACTTCCTTCAGGAAAGGGGATTCCACGGCGAGATACTTGGATACCACGTAAAGGCAGAAGAGATGGCGGTCGATCCCAGAGCCGGTCATCGAGAGGCGGTACAGATGCTGGTGCTTCTCGGATGCGATCTTGAACAACCGGAGCCTCTGTTCAACCTAAAGAACAAAGGATGAGATGTTTAGTGCGGATCGAAGCCCCCGGGTGAAGATAACGGGCCTGTCCCTGCACGGGTCCCACGGGGAACGTGGAAAAGCAGGCGACTGAGTGTGGAGATTGCCAAGGTGACCTGGCCAGAGGCCCCACCGACTGACTTCCCCTTCCCCAGGTTTCCGGAGAAGCACACTGGGGGTGCTGGGTACTGCCCACCCGGCATAATGTCATCTTTTATACAAATGAAATCGTTAATGTAAAAAAAGGTAATAAACGGGGCCACTTTGAAATGGCGTCAGAGCTACCATCCCAGAGGAGATGCCTGGCAGCTTTGTCCTTGAACCTCTCTGGAAGGTCCATGCTGGGGGCAAAGTAACCTTTGGACTCGGCCTAAGGCAACACTGTGTCAAAGAACTGTGTGTAAACAGAACAGGCAGGCAGTTATTCTGACTACTCTTTCCAACTGAAAATTAAAAGTGTCGTTTAGAATTAGCATCTCTAAGTTGGCCTATCTGCACCAACAGAAATTGTCCCCTTCCCTGTCGCGTAAACACCCCTGGCCCTTTTGTTCCCTAATCAGAACATTATTTGGGCTTCTGCGGGAATAGCTACTCTCTTTTTGATCTTGAATCGATGCTGGTTGCCTCTCACTCTGGCCTTTTATTTTCAGGTTCACAGAAGTAGGCAGGAAAGCTCCAGGTTCTCGCTTCCCACCTCCTGCAGGTCGTAAATATTCCTCCAAAGTCATCTGCTAATGACTCACTAAAACAGCGCCACTGGGCCCTGCGGTCTGACCCCAGAAAGGCTGCTCCAGGTTGTTCTGGGCTGTGTTGGGTCGATCGCAGAACGGGTGGGACCTGTCTGGGCTGTGACCCACCCATTCATGACCTGGTCTTCAAGGCCGTTTGTGGAGGCAGCTAGTGATAGATGAGAGCCAGCTGTCATGATGCCTGCTGCTTGCTTCCCACAGGGGAAGCCTGTCCCGAAGCAAGATTTACACCTGCCGCCCAGCAGAGCAGAGCCCTGGTCCCTGTCTCCTGGGCATCAGCGTAGGCGCCTGTGCCCGCGTCTGGATTCATCCAGTCTCTGTCCCTTTATCTACAAAAATGAACCGATAATGCTTCACAGGCTACCGCCAGGATGTTCAAAGACAGGATGTGGGAAGTCCCAGCATCCGCCTGCTCAGGGTGGCAGCGTGGGCAGCGGGCTGCAGTCACCCCGAGCAGAAGGCTCCCGTGGCACGGTGGCCGCTTCCTCACCTCGACACCGACCACTCGTACTGTCCTGCGGGACCACCCTCCAGAGGCCTTCGTTCACCTGCTGCGTACTATTCTAACTTAAAGACTCTGAGGAAGTATCGCCTGATGTGTGGAAGTTACAGAACGACAGAGGACCGTTACATGTGAACACTTTCTGTCCCTTTGACAGGGTGGACGGAGGAAAGGAGAACCCTGGGCAGCAGGTCGGAGCAGGACTTAGGGGGAGAAGGCTCAAAAGTCCTTCTGAGCGAAAGCCCCGAGAAGCCGCGCTCTCTCGGCCCGGCGGCGTGTTACCGTTTGCGTGGGGTCCTCCATGGCCAGCACAAAGTTGCACGACTCAGTGGTACAGGAACGCACCGTCTCCGTCCGCCCCTCTCGGTACAGCCGGGTCATGGAGGCCTCGTACGTGAGGCAAAATTTGCCCATGTCCTAGGATGGGAAAAGTATTTCCATACAGGGCATGCCGATGAGCCCGAACGCGTAAGAAGGGGTCGGTCAAGGCCGACGAGGAAAAGCAGAACTCGTCGTTGGCTTTAGTTTTTAGTTATCGTCAGTTTTACATGGGGTTATGCAGCAGGCAGATGGGGACGTCGTTAGCTGTGGAACGGGTTTGGGCGGGCAGGGGGCGCAGGGTCAGTTCCTGGGTCACCCAGGTTTCCATCACCAGACGCAGTTGATGCCATGGCACAATTTCCTGAGTCTCGCACACCTACCCGAGGCGAACAAGGTTATGGGAGCGACACACGGCAAGGAAGTGTGCATGCGACAGTTCGGAATTATGTCCGGACGTGAAGCGTTGGCGGGAGATACTCCATCATATTCGGATGATGGTGAGAATATCCAGCAGAGAGACTGGTGCTTCAAGAGAGGGGACCACGGGTCGGGAGCAATGGCCTTCGGTGGGAGGGCGGGAGGCCGGAGCCTGGAGCACGGACAGCCCTGCACTGGGCAGGAGGGGAGATGACGCGGGAGGGGACAGTGGTGGGGGGCTGGCCGGTGCAACAAGAAGGCCGCCTGCTAAGAGTAAGGATGGAGAGGAGCTGCTGGAAGTCAGATGCGGGGTGAACCAGGCATTTAGGAGCGTAGACAGTGGGGTGCCCAGGGCCCGACAGAATCAGTGCTTGTCAATTAGGGGAGACGAGCCAGGGACCTGGGGTTTTTCTCTGGCCATACCGGCTTCTCGGGTGCAGGATGAAGCAAGGAGAGAGCTGGGCTGAACTGGGGCCAGTTCTGCTGTGCTGGGGGCCGCAGGGCTGGGGCACGGGACAGTGGCAAGAGGTCGGGGAATCTACGCCCAGCGAGGAGAAAAAGGAGGGTAAGGTGGGCAGAGGAGACGGAGGGCAGAGGCCCTGACCAGCCAGGGCTCTGGCTGGAAGCAGCAGGCGGCAGGGGACAGGCACAGCCCAGGAGCATGTGGCATCCGACCACATGTGCTGTGGGAGGAAGTCATCTGCAATCTGCCCTGGGCCAAGGCCCACGGCCCCCGGGCCAGCTCAAGGATGAGCAGGTTCCCAGCATGGGCAGGAGGGTGGAAGTGGCAGTTTGTGGACCCGAACTATCCCAGACCAGATCCACACCCCTTGGCATTCGGGCGTACCCTGGCACAGGCCCTGGTGACCCCTGGGTGGCAGAGGATGCCCTGTGACACGTCAACACTGTTAAGTAAACCCAGGAGAGGTGCTCTCAACACGTGGCATGAAGAACACCAACTCACAACACTGTCCATAAAATTCTGGTCAGTAAATTTCCCTCGGGCGGGGCCCGGGGAGCCTTCTAACTCCTCGTCCACTTACGGTGAGCAGGGGTCCCAGGTTACTCATTGGGCAGGACTTCAGAGAGCTCCCTAGAGCCCCCTCATCATAGGCATTTCCCAGGGGCTCCCCATGAAGCAGTGGGGCGGGGGAGGGAAGGAGGAAAACAGGAAAAGGTGTAAATTTAGCATTTTAGTCATTTAATAAAGGTTAACTGGAGATACACGATGCAGTACTTTATTTGAAGTCAACTCTCCAACGTCAACCTTAAATTGTGTGAGTGGCCAGCACAACCATGCACTGTACCCCCGACTGAAAAAAAAACGACCGTCTAAAAACCTCTTGGCAAAGGCACTGGGCATTAGTGTGCGCAGACCCCTCCGAGCCAAGCCTGTTACACCTGCAGCCCCACTTAACCTGCCGCGACCAGCTGCCATCTGGAGGGTGGCCGTTGTCACCGAACCATCTCCAGTGTCTAAGGAGCAGGATCGAAAGACGACGTCTATAAAGATAGTAACACACATGGCATGAGAACACAGACCTATCGCACACTGGGACTGCCGCTCCGTGGGTAACCTTACGGGGTGGTGGCGCTGGGGGGCATTTTTTTCCCACCTCTAGTTTCCAAGTGAGAAATAAGGAGGACCCAAAAGCAGGAAGCGAATGGCTACAGACTAAAACCACGACCACCACCCAGCGTCTTCCCTCAATCAATCATTAAATATATATTTACACCTCTTTCTCTGTGGCTGGCACGTTCCTGGCATTGGGGACATGGTGGCAAACAAGACAGACCATGTCCCTGCCCTCCAGGAGCAAACATTCTGGCAGGAGAGGGACACGATATCACGTCGTGACAGGTGCACAGAACAGAAATGGCGCAGGGTTCGTGAAGAGAACGATGGGGTGGGGGCCGTTTCAAACAGGAGATGGTGGCGCCTGAGCAGAGACCTAACCAATCACGCCTCAGTCCGGGACACAGCGACGCTGGCAGAGAGCGAGAGCAAACGCCCTGAGGCAGACGTGAGCCTGGCTCTTCCAAGAGCAGCAGAAAAGGACAGTGGCCAAAACAGACAGCACGGGGCCCAGAGCGGTATCGAAGATCGGAAGGTAGACAGGGACCAGGTCAATGGTTAGTAACCTTGGGGATGTGTGAACTTGGAAGGGAAAAATATAAATATTTTAATTTCCACTAACGTCAAACTAAAAGACAGCCTTTAGAAGCACAGGCAACAAACCACAGTAATTATGAGCAGTGCCCGTGGCTTTGAATAGAAAATCATAGCTATTTGCGCATCACATTATGGCTGTTTGCACATACCCCAAAATATCATCTATGCTTATTACCACTTCAAGATTCCAGCAGTTACTAGACCTGCTCCTGGAAATTCAGTGCATAAAGAATTACACTGACTGCATCACAAATCTACGTTTAATCTGGCGTCTTTGTTTTCATTAGCTGGTTAACCTTTGCAACCCATCTGAGGCTTTAAAAGCATTATTCTGGGAGGGAGGGGAGCCCAAGGCTTTTCCAACTGCCCAAGGGTTGGAGAAAGGCACAGAGGAGGTTCAGGAGCCTGGAGTAGACCCCGGAACCAGGTGGGATGCCTGGATTTACGCTGAGCCACAGCGGGGCCCTACAGCTCCGAGCCAGGCAGAAGTGCGTCTGAATGTCGGCACCGCCAACAGCCCTGTGCCTGACAGAGCAGGCATTAAAACTCCTGAATGGATGGATCTGCCTTGCATTTCTCATAGATCACTTTACTAAACTGATCATTTTTCATAGAGTGCTTTGTGAAGAACTGACTCGTGAGATGGGCAAAGGATGTAAGTCCAATTATTTCTAGCCAGTGTCTGGGTTATCGAAACACGTAAGCCTTAACTTTTAAAAAGTAACTTGATTTCTGAAAGAGTAATTATAATATGAACTTATGAAAAATAAATAAACGAACAAACAAAACACAGAAAAATCTAAGAAAATAAAGATCAACCTTCCCCAGACCACCTGCCAATGGTTTCCATCTATGCTTTCTAGACTTTGCGTATAATAAACATCTTCTGTAAAGTGGGAAACATCTTCTGTTTCCCATGGGCCAGTCTCTGCCACAACAATCCACCTGGGCCACCGTCACTCAAAAACTGCCAAAAGGGGGAGTGTGTCCGGGTGCCAGTAAACCTTTCTCTACGAGCCCCGAAGAGTCATGCGATTTTCACGTGTCACAAAAATCCTACTTCCCTTTTGACTTTTTTCATTTACTGAAAATGTAAAACCATTCCTAGCTCAAGGGCAACGCAAAAACAGGAAAGGGCTGGATGTGGCTGGCGGGCAGGAGTCTGCAGATCGCCGTAATAAACGGTTAACTTTCACGGGCCGTTTTATGGCTACGCGTTCTCCCAGGACATACCGCGGGCATCACTTAATAGTTACGTAACATCCCGCTGCATGAAAAGACCGTAGGTTAATGAGTTTCCTAGTGATACCCTTTTAGACGGCTTCGACCTTTCACAGAGGGGCACACCTTAACTCGTCTACATGAGCCTGTCCTGAAAAGGACACTCTTCTCCAACTCACGATGCATTTTCCTGGCTGCACGAGTGCCACCGACGCGGCCGCCCTTCTCAGTCCACCCTTACACACGCGGAACCACGGAAAGACCTTCGCATAGACAAAAATCCAGTCTTACGTAAAGCGCACTTATTAGATTCGTAATAAAACTACATTTTCTGCGTGCGTCCCTGGCTGCTTGTACCTTTCTTCTCGTGTGAAGCACCAGTTTCTGCTGTGACTCCATTTTTCTATTGGGCTGTTTATTTTCTCCCCAGATAGAACCATTAAGCCTATTTTTCCAACCCCATTTACTACTCAGTTCATCCCTCCCCCCAACGGCCAACGTCTCCTTCGTCACATACCACGTCACGCGATCGTTCTGGCACCACTATGCCACGTTTGTTACGATAATCGTCTAAATTCTAGACTTTAGGCTTTGAAAGCCTCCGCCTCGTCCTGCCCTGTCTCCACCTCATCTCACCTTTCTTTTTCAGATTGTTACCTTTTATTCTCAAGGGACAGCTCTTTCAGACAAACCTGAAGATCAACTGGTCCAGCTTTCTTCCTAAGTTCATCTTCAGATGGCTGACTACATTCAAACCACACACGTGAACCAAGGTCTCTCTATCTGAGGTCTCTCTATCTGAAAGTATCGAGTCTTTCTACCCAAAATCGCTGCCTTCCCTCCCTTCCGGAGTGCCTCTGTATAGTTCTGCACTGGCCTCCATACTGAGCACGCTTCTTCATCGTAAAAGCTTTCCCATCTGCTCCATCTTCTGACTGGATGTGCAAATATTCCTCCTGCCCAATCGTCCCGTCCCCACTGTGCCCAGGGAGAGACCTTCGAGAGCGGTAAGGCTGCTGGAGCCAGCCTCGCCTTCCTGCTCCCGTGGGGCCGCCTCCACATCCTCACTTCTAAAGCCACATGCTGGCTACTGATACATGGCGGCATTTATCGTGTTAAGGAAATAGCCCCCGTGACCAAGAGTTATGGAGAACAGATGCTACATTTTGAATGCCTTTTCAGGATCTGCCAAATGACCGTGTGGTATTCATCTGTTACTGGATTTACTAATACCACACCATCCTCCAGCCGCAGGTCTGAGCTGTTGCTGGTGATTATATTTTTCCTGTACTAGTAGATTGTCCTTGCTAATATTGTTTTTAGGTTCTCTGCGCTTATCATCACGAGCAAAACCGGTCTGTGGCTTTCTTTTTCTGTGTATCCATCAGATTAAGCTGAAGATGTGGGTTCTAGAACTAGCCCGCCTGGATCCCAGTTCAGCCTCGCCGCTGCAGGCTGCAGGACGGAGGCAAGGCACCTCACGCCCTCAGAATGGGGACGGCTGAGTGCCGGCTCGGGGCTGCTGAGGGTTAACCAGCTCCCGCGAGGCACTGAGCAGGCACCAGTGAGCTCCCTGTCACTCACATCTCATCGTCATCGTCATCGGGACCCCAATGAGGCTGGCTCCTCCCCTCCCCTGTGCGCTCAGCGCGGCCTGGGGCATCTGCGCCTTATCGGGCGGCTCTCTGCACTGTGCCAACGTCCGGCCACGGGCGCTGACCTCAGGCTTTCTCCCTTGTCCTGGGTCAGCCCTACTGCTGTGTTGCCACAGAAGATGATTGTTCCGTCAACACTTTCAAAACGTATTACTATGGAACCTGGTATCCATTCTTAAAATCTTCTCTGTATCTGAGGTATCACCTCCTTCTATAGTTCTAATACTGCATATTTAGGTGTAAAGTCTGCTTATCAATTTTAAAAATCAAGCTTATTAATCCTAAGATGGAATTCCTCAATCCCGTTATATCTTTGAGTCACTTGATCTGTCAGACGAAGACCTAAGTGAAAGTCTAGGTGTGACCCCCAGGGCCGTCACCTGGATCCACTCCTGCCACATACTCCAGTGTCACCTGGGCAGGTCACCTCACCTCTCTGTACCTGTTTTCTCACCTGCGAAATGGGCTGACGATGGTGCCTCGCACCGGGGGAGGGGGATGGGGGAGGCTGCAGAGTGATGTGTGTGTGTAAAGCGCTGAGACCAGGATCTGGCACAAAGCAAAACTCAGACACCCCGG